TTACTTACATTTGCATATAGATTACCATTTCTCAGCGATAGATAATTAACTGGGTTGACATAGCAACGTAGTGTAATAATATTGTCACCGTAATCGCCCACTTTTTGTACAATGAATTTTGCTGAAGAGAAACAAATTTAAAAATATGAAGAGGAAAATCAACTTTAACGATCGAGTTATTACATAGCCTGACTAGGTCGCGTGAGTTGCGCCCTCCACGATGCGGCGGTCTAATGCCGTTCGGCCGGCGAGGGTGCCACTCACGCCTACATGTCAGACTAGTTATTACATGCATCAGTGTTACTATCGTGTACGACAACTCCCTCTACCGGCGAAATCATCTTGTACTATACATACCCTGGTCTCCAGACGCACCGTTCCCATCAATCCTTCCTGTTCTGTTGTGTACCCTCAAGTATCTACCACTTTTTAGTGACGTCATCTGTATAATATCACCTGTTTCTAGTGTTTTAGGCTGAAATCGTTCAACAAAAAGTTACATAAATCAAAAGTAATTTATTGGTTAATTGTTGAGGGCGTAATATTTTGTTAGATCCCTTTTTTGTATTTACTAAATATATGACTTTGACGTTATATAAATGCTACGCACTGGTAAACCTGCCGTGTGTCCTCTGTTAACGTAGTTTTCGTGTTCGTACGTGATTCCCTGTAACAAAGGAAAAACTAAGAGAAATATAGTATACACAACAATTCATAGATCAGTATAAATATGGGTCGGTTTCGACCTGATAGGTTCATGAGCCAAAACGTCCACCTTTAGCTTAGTTTACCAATGTGACATTGTCATTGACATAAAATGATTAAAATTAAGTTTTGTCATTTATCAGTTGAATAATTGTTTAAAGCGGGAGAGTCGTCACCTGCGCATGCGTGAGTTGGCCATAGCGTGTCATTGTTTACAAACAAGCGTCTACTCATGAGCCTTTGCGGTTTTAGCGCATGTTCATCGTCGCCGCGGGACTCAATAATTTCTCTGTACATTGTGTTTAAAATTTCCATCAACGGCAGTCTATCATAGTTATTGTCAAGATTTATTTTATATTGAGAATTATTGACAAATACGAAAATATAGTGAATTGAATTGTCGAGTTTTCGTATTTGAACCGATCCCCAGAGTCAATGGGATGTTAGGTACTAGTACACGGTTGTGCCCGATTGTCCGCCCAGCCCATTGGCAGAAAAGCTTGTTTGTTGACACGTTTTTTTCCCCGACGCATCAAATTCTGCCTTTTATATATGTTTCGGCTGTCCCAAGTCCCAAGGCGTGCAATTGTTTTCTTAAGTTGTCATGACGACAGTCGTCGCAATGATTCACCACCGTGACTAGTGGGCCATTGTGTTTTGATTTCACATTGTCGAGACAGATCGAACGCTGAGATAATAAACTTCCTTGTAATCGATAACATTGTTTTATTACACGGTTTATTGATCGGTATTGATTTTTTTTTCTTTTATCAACTAAGTTCTAACTACATACGCCCGAATAAAGTTCATTTTAATGAGTCCATTAGTGACCCCATTAAAACAAACTTTAGATCACCGAGTTGTACTGAGTTGGCGATTAACTGCCACACTGACTATGGTTCCGACCCCAGGAATGCACAGAATGCTTATTAAACTTATTTTAGGGATTCCACGGGAGTTGAACACGTGACTACGAGGATTCTCCTGATCCACACGGTTTGAGAACTTGCACCTGCAACTAACCTGTCTATGATCGGCTTGTCAATGTTATTATTTCAAAACGTGGTTGCCTCAATGAGTGCGTGTGATTACACCTGTCCGAAAGCGACCAACGAGATGATTAAATGAACATGGACATAGAGTGCATCGCGCCATAGTTTTCTAGTATACAAGGTTGTTGCCATGGATACCGTCATCTAACTTTCATGAATATATTATGAGTTTCGTTGTTCTAACATAAATAGAACATGTTAAAGTGATGGCGATGTCGCCTACTTGTATGGAATTTACTAAGAAGTATTCGTTTTCAAGATATATGACCGAAATATGAAAAAAATCTCAATTTTACTCTTTGTTGTTGTTTTTTCTACAGTATGATTTTCTCGTCGATAATAATATGTACATAACATCTGCGTGAGTTTATGTTGTCATCTGATTATAATGAAATTGAACGTCAGAGTCAACTGTTTTTACATTACATGTTTTAAACATCTGATAGTCAAACATTGTAGCCAACAATAGTAAATTATGTCCATTTGGTTAAACAAAATTATAGAGAATATTCGTACCAAATAATTTGACCTTCAAAGGGTTATGCCGCCAACTGAATACACGCCCCCGGTGGAGAGTCCGCATTTCTACGTCACAGAGACTGAGCTGCCCTTATCTGTCGGTCGGTGCGTGTAGAACCAAACAAACATCAGACAAAACAATAATTTGGAGAAAATTAAACCATACACTTGACTTCGGTAATTGACGGGTCACTTGTTTGTACCGCTGTGTTTGCAAATTGATTGGAAATTGTTGATAATATTTGACAATGGGGGTAAAAATAGATTTTTATTTCCATGCTGGACCGGTTTGGTGATCGATGATATCGATCCATCTACCCAAGTATGTGATTTCCTTGTGTCGCTCGGATTTTCAGATACTAATCTATATAATCGCACATAATCCCTGTGTTTTCATGGAGCCGCTATTCCGTTCTCAAATTATTATTGTAAATCAACATTTCACGTCTCAGATGGAAATGATTTATAAATTTGAGCTGGTAATGTTAGTTTCGAACATATCAATGTGTTGAAGATTAACTGAAAGGTCAGTGCCCACATGTCATTATTGAGCGATTACCACTCATTTACAATTTATAACTCACACGGTTGGTATAAAGGTCGACAGTGCTAAAGTTTGCATGTGGCAATTATCGCATACAGACGACAGGCCGCACTAGTCCGCGCCTGCGCAGTCTGTCGAAGAGTGAGATGACTAATTTAACGCGTTTGATACCACAATTTCCTGTTATCATCGTTTATCAACTTTTTTTATGAACTGTCAGTGGTCTGAATTCTTGGCGACTATAACATTTCCTTTTTTTAAATGCTAAAAGTTAATTTAATAATTGGTTTACAAAATATTTTCAAAAGATTGTTCTCGGAATCGTTTTTTCACTTACTTACTGAGCAGTTTTGAACAATTCACCGTGTTTGTTATGTTAATGTGGATGTTAGCTTTCTCACTTCCTGTTACTGTGACAACGTCATGCTCCGTTATATGACCACAATACGGCATGTGACGATTTCACGCCTAATGTAACTGAGTTCCGGTTCTGAAAATGAGATTCCTCAAAAAGAAGCAATGATCTGTTACATTCTTTTAAAGAACACTACGATAAAGATTTTCCGTTTTCGACATTGTGAAATTCTTTCGTTTTTTGAGAGAAAAAAACCTGAAAAAAAAACTGATTTTGACAAGATAATTCAGAAATCTAGGTTAAGAATAATTCAGAACGAAATGTATTCACATGTACCTATAAATCATTTACATAATTACCGATTACACAAGAATAATACAGAAAAAAGATAATTTTCTATATATTTTCTATACTTTTTTCTTTTATTTGTCTTGAATTGTGGCTGAAAGAAGCTGAATGAAATTAAAAACTATGTAGTGTTCAACAACACATGTATTAATATTAACTTATGCATGTATTAATAAATATGACCTTTCTTGGGAAAAAAATACTTTATTTTTCTGCATAAAAACGAAAGAATTTCACAATGTCGAAAACGGAAAGTCTTTGTCGTAGTGTTAAAGCTGAAAGTGAGAGGCGACAGACACGGTAACTAGACATTACCTACCTCATGTCGTTTGGGTTTCATTGACCTTGGAACCCAGCCGTACAGTGTTGACATATAGATCTGAAAAATATATATATACAAATAAGTGTCTTTCACATTACCACTGTCAAAAAAATAACTACAAGACATTTCAGCGATAGATAAGTGTCTGGTTCTTAAAAAATTAAGGTACTTTATTATTTTTAGTTCTAAAAAAACAGTATTGATATAACTTATGTCTGTGGTGGGAATTTTTGTACTACAGAACATGAATCAGAGCCTAATGTTAACAGTATGAGGGAGACGCGAGGCGTTGGTATGGGAAACCGGGAGACGGTAGTGTACAAAGAGTTAATATTGGTATCCAGACTCTACGTGCCGTCACGTATGTATGTACACCTGTGATACATATTCCTCCATAACGTAGCAACCATGATTACCCACGGCGAGTCAATTGGAGTGTTTTCGCCCTATTCATTCATTCATTAATATACCTACATGTACAAGTAGTCTCGTTGCACGTGATCACCCTACCCAAAATGTATTGTTAAATAAAATAGCGCGACTGTTACGAGATAACGATATGATGTTGCGTCGGGCTAATAACGAGGTGAAATCGATTCCCAATTGTTTTTCAAATGTGTTCATTCAGGACTATTTCAATGTGTAGTTTATAGTCGTGTTGCACTTATTGTGTACGCCTTCCATTGATTATTGTAATTATAAAATTTGGCAATAAATTGGAGCACTGAAGCTCGCATCATTCATTGAAGTTTAAGTTGTGGTGTCTATTCGCCAAGTCAGATATAATTGTCATAGTTGTAATCACTCGAAGTCAATGTACTTTATTTTCTGAAATTGGGTTTCAGGATTCTGTTTGATTTCTCACGAACTAAAAATAATAAGGGAATGTAATGTAGTTGACGTTGTATTTGTGCGTATGCGTAAACACGCTCACTATGCAAAAGAATCTCTGTGTTCTGAAGTGGGTGCATCTGTATTATCACGGTTCGTTTAATCCCTAGGCTTTTACGGCTTAATAAGTCCCAAATCCCACCAACATTCACCTGTTCAGAATGGTATTGTAAACTCGTCGATTCATACGGAGCTTTAAAAAGGGCATATCATACACCCGTAACCTCTGAAACCCCAATCTCGAGAGTGGATGGGGGTTTAGGGGCGAGTCGGTTGACTCAATGTATTCTTTACGTATGACTATTTTCACATCAAAGTCCGTTTTTGATATACTGAACCTAGCCACTCTGCGTAAGTTTAGCTATAGCGGCAGCCATAATATGCCTTCATATTCCGAACGAGTCGTGACTTGATGTTTATGGGAACAGAGTTGAAACTGCGAGAGGCAATAACTGAACGTGACAATTCGAAGTACAAAGGATGTTAGAATTCATGGTTTAAGCCGAATCGGTGTACACATTAGTCATGTAAAGTTCACCGTTCAAAATATAAATAGGAATCTTATCGATTCACATTTAAAGTTTGTTTTATCGCTTATGCGTGCACGAGTCGTGTATATATCTTTAACAGAAATGTGTATCATAGTCGAGGACGTCGTTTCAGGTAGATTCAAGTACGTTTAACAGGAATGGAAAGCAGTCGTTAACGACAAAGACGGACTATAAAAGACGGGACACCACCTCGTTGAAGTTCATTAAAAATCACTCCCATGTTTGCGAGAAGCGGTACTAAATTCAACGAGTGTTTACTGGCATACTGTTCGAGGGGGCATAGTGCAGCAAGGTGCATGAGGTGGCCATCTTTCCGGGTGAGTGCGTACCATCACGTACGAACAAAACAAGGATGCGGTTACTCACATTGAAATCCATGAAGCTGTCCTTTACAACTGAGTCCATGATCCACAGCAGCGATAAGAGATAGAAAAGAAGCGATAATTAAACAATAAATAAAATAACTCAGTAGATATAGGTCCACATATGAAGCGTAATCAACTCAGTGGGTGCGTGTTGTGTGTGGTGGACTGCTACGGTAACTAGGACCACAGCGTCAACTCCACAACGGGGGACATCCAATAGTATTCCGGTATAAACTCGCAGTTCAAAACGCTGTTGTGACACCTAATAGTTTGATATATGATCGGTTCGTTGCAGTCACCAGCACGACTAACAATAAGTACACAAACTAATACTCTGATTACACCCCAACCGAGTGGTTTTAAAGGGTCGCATAATTTATCTTATGCGTCGGGGCAGGGTCAATGCTGTCAGCGCATTTTTCTGTGAGGGGTCAACGTCACTAATAGGTTGTCTCAACTGAATCGTTTTTAAAATAAATTTACTATTCCACATCACGACTACAATTACTATTTGTTGGTAGTTTGAAAAATTACTTATAAGTTGATTTCATATCGAGTTGCATTCTGGGTATAATCGTCCGCTGGTTTCGTCACGGTGCACGTGTTAATCCTGAATGACGCCATTTATGGTTTTCTGATGATATGCTCTTAACACATGTCTGTTAAGGACAATATCAGAAATTATATTATGCAATGTTAATAGTAATATTGAATGCAGTAAACCGCCGAGTGGCAGATGACGTATTCTTCCATCCTCTTCCCAGAACATAATATAAATGATATGTCTGCACAAGGACTTCGACTCGGAGGAGACAACCATTGGCGACAAGTATTAACAAACAAATTTGAGTATCGGGGAAAACGGTTGCTATCACCTTCACTGTAATAACATGTTTCTCATGTCACATTTGTTTTCAATGTTAAAAGGTTCATGTTCCTTACGACAAACAGAGTCTGCGCATGCATGAAGATAGACGGCGCAGATCACTGTGGGATTCCTTGTTCGATGATCGATCTCAAACTTTGTCAATCTTTGAAGCATTTTCAAATAAGGTTAGAGATGCACGCCATACTCTTGCGTTGTCTTGCTGAATAGGTATAAGACTCCCTCCTAGTATTGAATTTATAAGACGACTATTCTATGTTAACACAGCGTCAAAACGAGCATATAACATTTCCTACTAGTAAGTTAGTTTCCTTTAGAGTGCTACCGAAGCAGAAGTCGAACCGCGTTGCATGACAGGATTTATTGTAGTTTTGCCGATGTAACACTGTTACACCAATTGCAAATACATACAATCAAAATTCATTTAAAAAAGGTAAGGGTATAAACAATAATAACAGACTCGCTAGTTAACAAAATTTCGTGGCGTTTCATTACCAGGTTAAATGGTGATGTCATCGTTGCGTTAGTGATTGCTCCGAAAGTGAGGTGAGCAGCGCGTCTGTTTATATGTATGACAACTTGAACCCCGCCATATTCTAACATCGGAGCTATAATGACGTGATTTGCTCAGATAGCAAGTACTGATAAGTATATTGTGGATATTTTCCTTGGGGGTTGTGTACCTACTTACATATCTATCTACATCGTATACCTACGCCGATGCGATCTGTTTTTTGGGCTACGAGCACATCACCAAAAACAATGCGCAAAGCGTTGGTATGAACATCACCGGCAACAAACACAAATTGTACGCCGATAGTTTTGGTCACGGTGGATCGCTGACATCATAAAACACGTAAATTCGTAACGCATTGTAGATTTATATTCAGCGCAAGTGACAATCAAGTTAAGTATGGATACAACGTTAATAAAATGTGACTAGTCTTGATAGCTGAACTTTAAATCCCCGACAACTTACCGAATCAATGTGG